TTCACCGCCGGCTTGACCGCTTTCCGTGAGTATTTAAGCTTGACACGGTATGTGGACCGGTTATGCGATCACGGTATACCATAATACGTATATAAATATTATATTTTACATGAAACAATGTGTAAAATCATATTTTTCCTATATTATTTTTATCGCATTTTAAGTTATTCGATCTTTTGAACGACGGCACACGTTTATGGTATTTTCATATTCTGAAGCAAAAAAATTATTCGAAACGTTTCGATCTATAAAAATAATTTGCGGACATTATTAGTAAAAAGTGTTTAAAGCTTAAAATAATGGCGTAGATCAGTCATCCAGCAAATCAGTCGAATTCGCGACCAACCAGTTTATCGCGGAGTACCAGCTCTGTTGTATCACTTATTCATTCCACTAATTTTAACCTTCGATTCTCCGTCGAAATTTGATTTTTACACATCAAAAATTATTTTACTTTGAAATAAGAGAATTAACGCATATAAGGATAGGTTAAATCATTTGTTGACATTAAATAAGTAAAAATAAAAAATTATTACGATAAAAAATTGAAAATATATTTATTTTTAGAAAACTTCTAGACGACTTAAAATTATAAAGAAAAAACAATATTATCGAAAATGTTAACTAAGTATGACTAAACAAATGAATTTGGTGAAAAAATTACCGAAGTCTTTTCACGCAAAAGTCATGTTATATTCACAAATATAGGTATATGATGATTGATTTTTTTGTGAGTCCACCACCGCAATTCATAAGAAAACATGATAAGTTTTTAAATTTTAAGTACAAAATGTCAATACGAGTATACTTTATTAAAAATACTTGAAAAACATAAAATAGATAATACCAATTTTCTAGAAAGTTTGATAAAAAATATTCAGTATGGTTTACGATAAAATAATTACCCTGCATAATATGATTGTAACCGCAAAAGGGTTATAGAAATCTTAGTCATTGTGTACGAATACGTTTAATTATTCTGATTCATTAATCTTATCGATTATTATGTAAACGACAGTACAACATGACTATATAAAATGTATTATGCTAGCAAATTATTTCTAGTGTGTAGTAATGTCTTATCTGAAACACTACATCTTGAACCACAACATTATAATGAAAATATAATTTTTAATATTGTTATCATACAAGACAATACATGTTGATATTCGATTTCGACTGACGGTGAAGTAAAATGAATGTTCACATGTAGTTTTGTAATTTTGTATATTCCTCTTACCCTAACTGTATTTTCTTGTTTATGAAACTTTTTTTTTGATACTCAATGTTTCCTCATAAGTCATTAACGTATTTAGAAAAGTAATTTGCATCAGATTATGAAATCGATAATTAATTTAAGCACCTAACAAATCACAACGATTAAAAATCGTAGTTTTATAATAGCTAACAATCAGGTATAACTACTTTAAACTATGTGTAAACATTTTTGTCGATAACACAACAGTTCTCAGATATTAAGCGTCCTATATATAAAAAAAAATATGTGTATTAGTTAACAAAAACGTCAAAAACAATATCGATTGAAAATCTATATCGTTATTTCATAATTACATAACAATTTGAGCTAAGTACCTACTGTATAACTAATTGTTTTGAACACAATGGAAAAAAGGGGAAAAGTGTAGGTAAAACCAATCTGATGTTCAGTAGGTGTTGACTGAACCCAATTATTGAGAAAGTTACTGTAATATGTATGTGTTAAATTAATGATAAAGATAAATTATCGCATTTAAAAAACGATTCTGAGCGAAGGCAGTCAGTTTTTACTTTTACTAAGTAGATTTATGATGTGTTTATATTGCTAACATAGTAATTTATTTTACTATAAATAATATAGTAGGTTTAATATATTTTTTCCGAAAATATAACATTTATTATATAATTATTATTAGAATACTATATATTTATATAATAATATTATATTTTATTAATTTTTAAGTCAATATCTACTTTCCATAGGTGTGAAAAAATTAGTGATTTAAATGTACAATAACATAAAATTAATTTAAATATTTATGAAAATGTTATTGTTAAATTGTATATATAAATAATATACATACATATATACCTAAAAGTTTCAAATCTCTACGAAAAATATTTTTGAATTACAACAAAATAAATAAAATTATTATTCTTCAATTAAATAACTGATTTCGACCAAATATGAATTTAAAATGTATTTTAGAAAAATCATGTTATATATTTTTTAATTTTTTGGTTTTGGTATGAATTAATGAGGCTCTTTACATTAAATATTCAAATTTTTTTAAACTAACCAAGTAAGAAATTTTTATCGATATTTATAGAAAAAAAGTTAAATGTCAAATATGTTTATACGTACCTCAAAAAAGTCAAAATACTTTTTAAATTATACCATGCATAACAAATGTTAATTTTAAATATTTTGTGAAAATTTCAAGAATGTATTTACAGTTATTTGTTTTTAAAACATAACAAAAATAGATTTTATTGAAAATTTTCGTTTTTTCTTTTTATCATTAATCTAAAAAAATACTGAGAATTTTTCTCTTTTGATTCCCAAAGTACCAACTACATTTAATTTCTTTTTAGACAAGATATCGAAGTTAAAAATCAATGCTTTTTTTCTACTATAAATTCAATATAGTTTTAGTTAAAAAAAAAGGAATGCAAGCATTATTGTGAATCAATATATTCAATGTTCCACTCAGAATCTAAAATATAATATTTGTCAGTATTTATACTTATAAATTGTATACCCATATAAATAGTTATAATAATTATAAATATTATAAATGTATTTATCCATATTATAATACATTCAAAATAAAATAATAATTTGTAATTCTTTTATATATATATATATATTTGTAACTTAAAGAAGTCAAGTTGAAAAAAAGTATAGAGAAGATTTAGTAAAATTATTATTCATTTTTATGGATGTTTAATACAATTCATTGGAAGTCCATTAAGGTACATTAGGTAATAATTTAACTTAAAGTATTATGTTACTTTTAAATATCATAAATTATATTTCGAAGGTCCACATGTAAATGACAGTTTAAGGATTTTTAGACAAAATATTTAATTTTATATTCATATACTTGTAGTGTAAATTTTTTTTTATTTTTAGTAATATTATATTATAAATCTATAAATGGTGTTTTAGGAAAATTATTTTTTGTCCTATATGCACTAATTATTATTATAACTACCTACCCTTTAAAAAAAGGAATGCGTCATGTTAACTATTGAAGAATTATATGATAAGCAATAAAATATTGTAACGTATATTATTATTATATTTTACTAAATAGTAATTAGAATAATATAAAAATTTAGGCTGTTACCAAGTTATTTATAATATTTAAAATTTAAATGTTACATTGGAAACTAACTCTATCCTAATTTTAATATTAAAAACACATTTACATGAACACCGTAGCATCATCTACATAATCAGTGTGTTTGACAATGTTTTATTACAATTTTTTTTTTTTAATAAATACATATTTATGGTAATTTGAAGAAAAAAACTTAAGTGTGTATATTAATAATATTATGACATAAAAATACTGATATTATCAATGTATAACCGGTGTCTTCTATGTAGGTACCAATAAAAATAAATACACCTGTAATTAAATAAAATAAACGCGAAAAAATTCGATTTTTTACATTACGCTTATTATTATAATCATACTGATGCGGTGATTTTAGAATACATTTTAACGTATGAACACATATTATTTTGAGTACCCTATTTAATTTTGTTATTTTCCATATTTACACGTTAATTTATTTGATGTATAATACAAAGCATGGACGCAATAATAATTCTGTCATTCAATGACGCAACATGATAATATTATTATATTTTATTGTCATACGAATTAAATAATATAATATGATATGTAACTTAACTGTCATGTTATATTTTTATTATAACATGTTGTGTAACATGTACCTATAAAAATCTCTTTTTTACCCTTCTAGAATAAAGTGTCATTACTGCAACAGTTTATTATTATGAACGGCAACTGCATATAAAAATGATACAATATCAATTTAAGTGTTGCAGTATTTTTATACACCAGAAGAAATTAATTGTCGTTGTAGACATGACGATATTACGGGCATTCGCAATATTTATTGTAATAACATTATGCATTATAAATTGATAATAGCACATCTACGATACTTTTTTAACGCAAAGTGTTCGTCCTGATAAATTTTTTTTGGTTTATCGTTCTTTACTTGGGTATAATATGCATCTAAGTTAAGTTTGAGAAGACACGTTCTACAAGAATAAACGTCGGTCACGTTTATTTCTTCTCTGAAATGCTGTATATTAAGTCAGATTATCCTTCACTTTCAATATAACAATTCGAAGAGCTCATTAAACGATGTAGGTGTTCTGTAGGCAGAACTCGTTTTGCACCTTTAAATGCACTCGTATTACACAAGTATAATAATTATTATTCTACGTTAAATATAATATTATATACGGTTTATATTTAATCCAACATAATATTATAGAAGTCAATCATCTTCGGCTTATTTGAAGAAGAAAAAAAAACAAAAAACATTTTCAGGGTTATACTGAAAACTAGGACTTTCAGTTTAACAAGGATTCGTGATTAACAAATAATGTTACATGTCGTAATTATCTAAATTAATTAACATGGTATTGTTTTAATGTGTAGTTATAATTTATCGATTGCAAAAAAATGAACCATTTTTTTCTGGATCAGTTAATATGCGTAACGCATGTAAGTTACAAATTTTAAATATAAAAATATGTTTTATATATAAAATATAATTTTACAACTAATAAAATCATTATTTCATATGAATTCTTTAGTTACAAAACAAAAATATTAGTATTAAATTTTATATTATTAGTAGGTAAATAAAGCACACACGTTAATTAAATATACTTTATATCAGATACCTACATTATGTGGAATCATTAATTTAAATTTAATGCAATTCATATTAAATTACAGCTAATACACGTTATAATATTTTAAGTTACAAATAATACGAATTGTTATAATTTTAGCGTGTTGTAATAATTTAACAACATAAAAACAAAAAGCATGAAGATGTTTAAAATAATAATATTTGATTTATGCAAATAATCATAATCATATAATTCATTAATTATTTTTTTTTTATAGAAATGTTAATCATGTAGAAATAAATAACTTCAAATACTTATAATGTATTTTTTTATATTTGTATCATTATTAAATTTAAAAGATTATATTATACTTTATTAACGTTAACATGTTTCAATTTTGCAAAATTTTCAATTTTAATAAGAATTAATGAAATACTAACTTTGCCATGTGTGTATCCAATATATTTTAAAGAAGAACGATTTAAAACAAAATATATGAAAATTATAATCCATTCTAACCTCACTTGAGGTATATTTAATATATTTTTGGATTATACATTTATATCTTCGTAGGAGGGAGGGAAGAGGGTTTTAACACCTAAATCCCTCTCCTCCTGACTATGTTCCTAAACTGTTTACACACAAAATTTATTATCAGTAACATTGATTATTACACAATAATGTGAAATATAAATAAATTATAAAACAATTCACAACATATTAAAACAAGTTAATATTGTGGCAAGATTTATTTAAACAATATTTTATAATAGTTTTTTGATTTCATACAATAATTTATAATATAAGTATAGGTGGATATATATTTTTGAAACAAGTTTATACAACATAGAATATAATTAAGTAATACCTATCTCAGTATGGTATATTCTAAGTACTCGATCAGACCGAAGTTAGGTAAAAACGATCACGACTGAATTGCGATCGGCAACTAAACGTTTTATCAGCTGCCAAACACCTTACATCCATACAGATTAATTTTTTTTTTCTTGTACTTATTATATCACCGTATATCTTAATTTAATCGTATAAATTATATTATGCATTAAATAGTGATTATTTTGTATAATAAAATTCTATATACACGTACTGCTATTGTATAACTTATATCATGTAGGTATATTGTATTAGTATAGTCATATAAAAAGATACCTATATACCTACTGTATATTATTATTTATTTAGAAACTTACCTTTATTATTTTGTTTAATATTATTATTTTATTTACTTATTGATACCTACTTAACCTATTAATAATCATAATAATTAAAATACGATTAAATTGTTTTAATTTTTTTTTTCTTATTTAGCAGTTCTCAAGTTATCCCATTCCAAATAATATACTGCTTCGGAAACTTTCAACCAAGATGAGTTTTTTAGGTCCCTATTCATATAATCATTTGAGGTCATATCTCAAATACACGGATAGTTTTGAACCTCGATTATTAATTTTTACGTTGAATATAATATGTTTATGTTTTAATATTTAAAAAAAAAAATACTAAATTCAAAAAATAACGATCACTGATAAACGTCCAGTTTAGTCAGCGCCATAAAAATTAATATAATTTGTAATAAGACGGGTATGTATCGTCGTTATCAAACCGCAACGACGAGTGGTTTATTTCAAACCGATTTTGAACAGTTCGGAGAATCGGTCTGGTCTGGTCGCGACCATATGCGGTTTGTATGTTAATTATAGATGTCTCAATAAGATCAGTCGCCGAAAAAACAATAGTCTTATAATAGCACTTAGGTAACAAAATGCATCATAATATAGCTATCAACAATATTTTAATACCTATAAATCATAAACTTATGTATTTTGTCGATTTTAAGTTTAAACGTAGACGCACTTGTGGTAATTTCATATTATATTCTGATAAATGTATGATGTATTAAATTTAAAGATTTCGTAGCTTAAGACTATATAATACTCAGTGAAGAAAGGAAATCTTTCTAATATTGACCCTTATTAGATATATACAAGTATACCATATGCCATCTAAAGTTTCTTAAATCACATCTTACAACGTATGGAATATGATACTCGGAAGTCGTATAGTTACCTTGACTGACTACAACTGGCATATTTATTATTATATTACAAGTTAATATACACCGTTTACTGTGTAATAATGTCAGGACACAACAATTAACCCTCATACTTAGCCGCCGAAAATATTTCGTAGGTTTCCTAATCAACTGCCTATACAACTTACTTGTTTAAAAAAAAAATAATAATAATAATAATAATAATAAATGCGTTAACATGGCAAACCTATTGTATTCAATAATAACACAATTTGTAGCTATACAATAGATATATTTTAATATATTGTGTGTAATAATAAAAAGTAAATAGTAATAAACTAATGTCAATACCGCGGAACGCGGAACGTGGAATGTAAAATTGTTGTTTAAACTATGAAAATGGTTAAATTTGATTGACCGAAATGTATAAGTACACATAGTTTTCTTGGCTAATACAATATACTTTTGAATCACTATAATTATGGTTTTAACGATGTGTCATGACGTGTAATTGGTTTTTAGTTGAAAGGAGACGACGGAAAGAAGGCCGGGCTCCTCGGCGGCAAAGGACTACCTTTAGTCCAGAACAAACGCTAAACCTGGAAATGGAATACAGGAACAACGAATATGTGTCTCGGAATAGGAGATCGGAATTAGCCACCGCATTAGATTTATCTGAAACGCAGGTGAAGATTTGGTTTCAAAATCGTAGGGCCAAGGACAAGAGGCTGGAAAAGACCCACTATGACCAACAAATCAGGTGAGATACATAGATTTTATATTAGGTACCTGTTTCGAGTACACAACAATAAAATATTACTCATTTAAAACGTCCCTTTAATTTTAATTTTAATTTGTATTTGATACAGAATATTTGAAAATATGCATATTTAAAAATATAGGTAAATACAATCATCATATAAGTATCTAATATAATATTTATTAATTAACAACATTTTTAAAAACTATAAAAAATACAAGAACAGAAAATATATGAATAATTCAATGTACTTAACCTTTAATATTTTAAATATTAACTCAACGATATAAACACATTTGAGAAATTATTTTTAACTGTTTTCTCAAAAAACAGCAATTAAATAACCTGTGCTAGTAAACCAATGTAAGTACTTGATAAATATACTGTTGTCGAAACACCACACACAAATTACTTATTCATTTGATTATTATTGGTGTACTTGACAACTACACCGAACTTGGAAAACCTGCTTCAATGCATTATGAGTTTAACAAATGACATTACGTTAAGTACTATTGTTATGTTTTTGACTTCACGTTTAACTTGCTAAAAAAGAATAAAATAGACCTGTGATTTGGTTAAATAAAATTACAATAATTGCATTCTTAAATACAAAAGGTTTTCGTAATAATGAGACGATAAATAGAAAGTAATAAGTTATTGGAAACAACGTTAAAATTTACATAGTGCCAATAGAAATAAATAAAAAATAACTATAAAAATATGATAATTTTTCATAACTGTTTTGATTTATTATATTATAGTCGTATTGTTGTATATCGTGACTAATTTTGGATTTCCATTACGATCACATTAAATTCCACACCGCACAGTGCGTAGCCAGAATTTATATTTTTTTCTTAAGAGAGGACACTTAACGTTTTTCCTTCGTTTTTGCAGTGCTAGAATACCTTCGTTATCACCTATAACTTTGTGATACCTTTGTTCGTTAACTGTTCATTACATTTCTACTTTTTTTCATGATTGTACCACTGTGTTAATAACAACTACGGAATACATTAAATTTAACATGACAAAATACATATTAATATTATTGTAAGCCGTAGATTAATATATTAACTAATTAATATAAGTATATTAATATGACGTGTTACAAATATGAAACTTCATTTTTAATTTGAACGTTATTATTTATTAATCACAGGAAGTAAGAACTATAACTTTTAACTTTTATAAACATATAATATAATATAAAAAAAACTATAGTTAATCTTATGTAATTGGGATAACTAAAAATAAAAAAGATTATTATAATGCAACTAAAAAAAATTTAAATGATTAAAAGCATAACAATAAAGGCAGTGGTGGATCTAGGATTTTTTTATGGTTAATAATAATAGTCCTAAATTACTTATTATGTACAATTTGTGCGTGGTCACCAACCGGTGTTTGCTACTCCACTGTGCGGGGCGCGCGTTCTGATAGCCCGTACCAAAAATTTGCCACTCGGCGAATTATTAGTAATTTTTAATAAAAATATGTGGAACGGTGGGTGCTTCAGCTCCCAAGCACCCCCCCCCCTCCCTAAATCTGCCAGTGAATAAAGGTTACAATTTGTATTCGAAGTTGCGATAAACAATTTACTGAGTGACCGCGTTAAGGTAAGGTCTCACTGAACGCGATTTGCGATGCGAGCGATGTTGTTCAGCGATTTTTACGATTTTAGTGGGGTCAAAAGGAATTAATCACAAGGAAACAAACTATTTGATTTATTTGCGTTAAAAATGATTTATCATCGTTAAACGGAAAACGTGAACCGCTCTCAGTGCGGTCATGTCATAATTTTAATATTCTAAAGTTTTGATAAAATCGCAAAATTGTAAATCGCATTCAGTGGAGCCGTACCTTTAGTTCGTTGTATTCGTACGACGTACTTACCAAATCTACAACAAATAAAAAATAAGAAGTAGGAGCAGGTTTCCAAGTTACATTATTTTAAATTTTAACATTATGTTCTAGAAATTATGGCTATACCTATTATATTTATATGTATGTAATACTGTAATAAATTAGGTACAGTATGTGGCGGGAACCTCGTATTTAAAAAGTAATACTAATGGTAACTATTAAATGAAATCGATCATTTATTTTAACATCATACTGAATACTTTATCATTCTTATTAAGTTTTCATGAATAAAAATTACGAATAATTTACCAAAAATATATTATATAACTTATAAGAAATGTTTGTACACTACATGATAATAAAAAAGATTTTATGGAGGAGGGGAGCACGTGATCCCCAGTTCTTCCCCTCATTGGTTACGGCACTGCCAAACTTTATCTGCAGTATGTATATTATTATACATTGTTTAAGCGATTAAACGTTATTGTGCATTATATTTTAACATAGACTTCAGATGTCTAAAATATATAAAAGATTTAGTACAATATGCACTCACTGAAATGATGCAAAGATTGGATTAACGCGCATGTTCAATATATTATGATCGTATGTGAACAATAATAATAAAAATAGATACCAAAGATACCTACTGTACCGGTATTTCGGTAGAATAAACATGCGAATTACTGCGAATAATGTTGAATCCCACAAAAAATAAACTTTTTATTCAAGCTGATGTATTCGATTTTCTTACAACAATACATCCTTATATTGACGGTTCGTCTATAGCAATATAAGGTATTGGCACTTGATATAATATAACAGTCACCGCACGGCACAAGGTAAAATTCAATACTTTGAACAATGTACAAACATAAAAAAACAATGTTGAATCCAAAAACCACAATATTTTAGTAGATTAAAATGGCATAAATAATTTAGTGGGTTAAAACCAGATATTTTTTTAAGGTCGTTGTATTCAGAATTGAACACTCTTTAATAATTTAATGATCATTTCTTAAAAACATAAATATTTTTAAATGTACTATGTATTAATTATAAAATAATATATATATATACATAATATAAATTTAATTAAAAAAATATAATAAGAAATTACCATCAAGTACCCATCTCGTACCCACTACCCGCAGGGCCAGTTGTATCTGTCTTGAAGACATCATAAACAAAATGTACGCGGGCTTAAATAGATGTCCAATACGACAGTTTAAGAATACCATTATAACTAATTTTAAAATCAAAATTGCGATAAAAGAACCGACCACAACGGACAACGTTCCATCTTTAGCATGGATTTTACTTTATCATACGATTATAATATTCATATTTCATACTAAATAATATTAAAAACAAATGCGTGTGGAATATTGAACGTACGTTTAATATTTCATTTGTGTGTGAGGCAGAGACAACGGATGTGTGTGGTGCACCTCAAAAGACATCTTAAGAGATTCGTCGTGTAACGACTAGGTAGGTACGCGTAGAGGTATATAATATTATTATTACGTGTGATTACGTACGATCCATCAGCTCTTGTTTTGAATTATTCACACATTTGCAAGAACAAAAATGCTCGTGCAGTGTTCACAATACGTACATTTTATATTATATTATACATTTATACATGGTTTATATTGACAGCAATTTTGCCCTTTTATCGCGATCGTATATATTTTAATTCGAAGAGAAAAACCAACGTATTTATGACGACGATGACGACTGTACTACATCATAATGTAACATACAACTCGATAACATAATGATCGCGTTGTGTATAATAATATATTGTTGTATAAACGCGCCGGGCGCAAAGCCGATTCGTTTCCGCGTATTTTACCTTCCGTCCGTACAAAAGCACTGTGCGAAAATTAGTCAGATGTCGTTATAACGTTTTATTTGCATTACTTTTATTGTTATTTCCATGTTTTTCGTGTACGCCCACGTGGATTTCACGGTTATTTACATCGGTGCTTGTTCTTTAATAAAACGGCTCGCGTGCGCGCGAACACTATACATTGCACTTACATTTCCACTCCCCGATAAGACCCTGCACCTTGAATTATATACATACACACACATATATATATATATTCACAGTAACGGCGTAGATCACAATATGCATAGTAACGAATCCTAATCAAATCATACAGCTCGATTGGTTTTGTGCGCGTCTCCGACAGCTGTTTAAAATGTTAATTATTATTTATTAACGAGTTATATTGATGGCAACAATTATTATTGGTCGCGAGGTGGTATTATAATACCTAAGCTATACACGACGTATGCGCACGTGTATTGTATTAATATGATAAATTCAGTTTCGAGTTAACGAATTTACCTCACTGAGAAAATGTTATGGGGTTTACCCCGAATTGTATAATTATTGTTCGCTTAAATATCAAAAAATAATTAAGTAACGATATTTATTCGAATGAGCGAACATGATAATATAATTCTCTTATATGTTCATCCTTTGGGTTAGATAAATTGGTAAAATTTCAAGTCACCAGCATGCTAGGCGATTCTTTGATCAATAATAGTCAAAAAATGTATTAATGTTTTTGAAAATATTTGTTTTAAATAAGTTCAAGTCAAAATAAAACAACATTTTTTTTTTATATTTTTTATCATTTATTTTTTTTATGTTTTTAATTTTTACATTTTTGATTTCATATTCCGAAGCAGACTATTATCCAGAATATTTCAATATACACAAATCGAATTTCGAATAAGTGGTTTATAAGTTATAAATATTTAAAGTTTTGATTAGCAGAACGGAGATACTCCACAAAATTTCGGTTTACTATTCCGCTCACCAAAACTTTAAATACTTTTAAACTCATTCACTACTTACCCGAATTTCGATTTTAATGTATTGAAATATTCCAAAAAATATTCTTTAAAATATAAAATTAAAAATGTATATTGTAATTTGAAAAATAAAAGCTTAAAAATTATAACAATAAATAAATAATTAAAAAAAAAAAAAAAAAAAAAATATTTCGATGAGAAGTTATGTTTAGAAAGTAAATAGATTTTAAATTATTAATGTGTATTGTTTAACAAAAGAATAACCTTGTATAGACGAGGTTAGGTCTACATGACACAAGAGTTTAAAAAATTCATTTCTAATTAAATTTATAAATATACATAATAGTATAAGAAATAAAAATTCTTAGTATAATAATTAACAATATAATTGTGTATTTACTGACATAATATTAAGTTATATATCAAAAGGGTTATTGAAGGAAAATTGAATATCAAATGTTAGTGCCGAGAATATAATATGTGACAAAAATGTTTTATGTTTCTATCTACGATTTTAAATCTGGTTAAAAACAGGAGATTAGGAATTAGGACAGTCAATAGTTAAGTACATCCAGAAACTAATTCATAAAAGAAATAGGAGAACGACTGTTAATAATTAACTTATTAAAGGGTGAAAAATTTAAGAGGCTCAAAAATATTTGTAGTTATACACAATCCATGAACCAGATTTATATCAAAAGATGTGTTTTAGCGTTTAAAATTCTCATTATCCAATAATTCTGTACAAATCAAAATTAATTTTACCACTTGATGAAACTGAGCCTCTTTTCGAGCACACACACAGCCATTTAAAACGTACTATATACTATAATAATTTTTATTATGTGTAAAACATAGCTGTTATCCTGTTACATCTTTTATCATATTATAATGACGACATTATTGTTTTTGTTTTCCAGGCAGATGTTTCAGCAAAACGGCTTCATTTTGCCAAAGATTTAACGGCGAGTTACGCGTGGTCAAACATTAACGATATAATATAATAAACCTATCTCGGAATAATCATCACGAAACCGCTGTTATACCATGCTCTACATAATATATGATATATATATATTGTATATAGCCAACGGCAATGGGCGCCTTAATCTTATGGGATGAAAAGTGTGGAATTCGTGAAATAAGACAGACGTGTTACGTGTATTATTATATATTATGCCGTCGTCGTTGTCATCTATCAATTTTATCATTCGAAAAGCAAAGAATTTCTCAATATCTAATATTATTACTACTACTGTTATTATTATTATTGTTTACGAGAGATCTCTCTTCGCGCCGTTTATGACTATTTTATTTATTATATTATAATAATATTGTGTAGGTACAAATAGTGAAATTATTATGTACGTTTAGGATTTTACCATTCGAAACTGTATTATATTTCGTAAACATAAAGGACGTTGTAAACGGACGATTTAAATGCTTGTCGTTTTGTTAACTGTATACGTACGAATGAAATAATGTTTACAGAATAATTGTTCAGGCGTATCAACTATGCAGTTACCTATATTATATTACTATTTAATATTTATACATATTTTATGATGTAAATTCTATTATACATAATATTATATACTCACGATTGTGTCGTATGATTAATATTACAGTTGTAATTAATATTACGTATGTTCTTACAATATTTACATATTCTAGTCATATGATATTGTTTTGTATCTTGGAACTACCAATGTAGTGTACGTGAAATAATGAATCGAATAAATCAAAATTTAACATAAAATTATTAACATCAACTGCGTTCATATTATCAATGTTTATTTTTGGTACGCGTAGTTTGACTTTATGATAACCAGTTATCCACGCACATCAGGGTAGTCAATTTGCATCAAAAATGACTCTAAATATTTACACACATGAGTAATTTGAACCAAAATAAAGATGTTTAATTTACACCATCTCAGGTAATAAGAAGTAGGAAAATATTTAATTTTCACCAAAATTGAAATCGATTATTATAAGATAAGCAGGTACTATTGAAATAATAATCTTACAAGTTTCCTTAGTAGAGTACAATTTATTGAGATATGAGAAGCTAAAGACATAGAATATTTCGTTTATAGATTCTGAATGGTTATTTCACTTACCATTTAAGTATATACATCGTCCTACAATACATCAATATTGACTTAAAAGCTATGCTTTATTTCTTATAATAATTATATAACAACAAACATATTTTATAATAATTTTAATAATTGCATTATTTTAGACAACAATTATAATTTGCTATGTACTTTTGTGCTACTAAAAAAAAGTCTTATTATTTAAAAAAAGATTAGCCAATCAAAAAAATAGTATAAAAATATTAATAAAAAAAGTGTAAAAATTGATGTTGCATTGATTGCTAGATTGTTTGAATTGTACTTTAAGTTTTACGATTAACTAAAGATGAAATTAACTAAAAATGATAATGATTTATTTAAAAAAAATTAATTTACATATTATTGTAATTCATTGTTTTAATACTTACAAGTTTTTTGTCTTTGTATGCAACTAATTCAATGAATTAAGTTCTTAATATCGATTTATTGTTATTCTGGTCTAACGCAATTTAAATTTGATTTGTTCGTTCATTCATTTGAGAAGTTATTTAGTTAGGTATATGTATACTTGATAGTCGTATGTACGAATCTGTTTGAAAATCGATGAGAACTTCAATGAAATTGAACATTTAAGGACGTGAATGATAAAATTAAATTAAATCTACTATGAAATGATTCACAGGCATTCATTGTAAGTATAGAAGATTATGATGTAATAATTACCAAATATTAGATAGAAATAATGAATTTTTGTCTAAGTAACAGTCAGTAAAATAGTTAACAAATATTTTAAATTTAATATTGACTGTTATTATTGATACAAAGTCATCAACAAAAAATAATCCTACTTCAATAGGATTTAAAAATATTAAAACAAAATTATTATTCGACAGATGGTTTTCTAGTGTTTTATTATTTTTATACACGTTACATAATACAAATTTTATATTTTTCCGTACCTAGACTGTGTTAAACTAAAACAACATCCAAAAACATCGACAGTATTTCAAACGTCTTATAATGCGACTTGAATCGATTCTACATATATATCGATCACATATAACTGTTTTAGGTTTTAATATCGAATCAACATATAGATATTCGTGATCGAAGATGTCAAAAATAATGTGAATGTTTGTTTGGTTTTATTGGGTAATATACAAGTAGAACGTAATGATTATTTTAATATTTGCGTAAAGTAAAAAGTTGAGTAAATAATTTCGACAGTAATCGAATATGCCATCAAGATAATTTATTGTTTTATTTTTACATAAGAAATCAACAATTGTTTAGAAAGAAAATATATTTATATTTTTATGAGAATTATTCGATAAAATAAATGGTTCATCTTTATGTGTTTTAATATCCATAGTCAACAGCATTGTATGAACTTTATTTAGTGATACTGGATATTTTGACAATATTTTCCTCTTAAAATTATAATATTTATTACGTCTTATATCAGAAACATTCTATGATGGTGAAAACATCGGAGAGTGTTGAACTTTAAACTATATTATTTAATAATTTTGGCTAGTTTTTCGTATGGGGTTTCTTGTATCTTTGTTTTATATAATCAGATAAATTTATAAATTTATAAATTTTTCTTATTGTTATTGATGCGTGAAGTTTCATCACGAACGATTGTTATATTTTCACCAATATAAATTATTTTACAGAACATTTTCTCTGTAAACAATGCCAACGAATTATGTTCGTTCTTTAAGTTATTTTTGTTTTATATGAAAAATAAAACGTGTAACTTTAATACTCTAAAAATCTTACCCACAATTATTTTTTATTATTTTAACTTCCACAATGCAAAAAAAGAAAAAATACTCATGGAAAAACGCACTACGCTAGATTATATTAATAAAATGCAAAGACTAAAGATTATATTAGTTATTTGGTCGAAATAATAAATTTCTTCATATATAATATATAAATTACGTGTACATTTAATAATATTTTGTTACAACGTGATGCAATGCGATTACGATGGAAAATCGGACGTCAAACTTCAATATAATTACCAAATAAGACGGCCGGTAGTTAAAAGTTCCGAAAAATTATTATTATAATTCGGGTCTGTCAAGTTTAATTTATAAATAGCTATTAATATTTTACAAAATTATGTTCAAATAGTTCAAATAGTTTATAACTCTATAACAACCGATTACTATTCGTTGCCCATCACTAATAGGTATTAATTTTGATGCAAATTATAAACTCCCATTTATTAACACCCACGGTCCAAGTCAAAATTATGCTGTACAACTAGTTGGGCAAGGTAGGCAACTGTCATAGCTTAACATTTTTACCTCTTATTACATATATTATTATATTATGATCAGTGATCACATAATGTATTGAATATATAGATAAAATTATTGTCGATTTTACTAATTTCTCAATGACTTAATAGATACATGTGATTCGTTTTAAATGATGAATAGATACCTAAACATATTTTAAATAAATAATAAATTGGTTAAAAAATATTATTTCATTACCTATAGATACTACTTTTATGTTCCTATGATTATAATAATAATAATAATAACCAAATAATAGAATTATATTCATAATTAAATCATTTGGCTGCATTTTTATAAAATAATATAGTTCAGTAATAATACAACTTACAAGCTAAAATGCATTGTATATTCAAATAAAAATCACAGAATATTTTTATTCTTAATTCAATACCGAAGTTCTGTAAAACTTAACATCTAAGTGGATATTTTTTATTGTTGTTATTATTTTTAATTTTGTGCATTAAAATACACTTATTATTGAATAATAATTGTATAAAGCCATTTTAAATAAGGATTTACAATAAGAAATCAGAAGGTACAGCAATTTGTGTTTACTGAATGCATCAAAATGTATAAAAAGGTATAGATATATAGTGTCGAGTACTCAAATGAATAACATTACAGAACGTATAATACTGGCAGTTCGAGCAAATGCTTCTTTTTTATATATTTTATCGATAAAAAATGACATAGGATTACTTTGGAAAATTATATTTTAAGTTACACTATCTACACACTGAGTATAAATGGCTAACATTATGGCGTGTTGCTTTATTGTTGCTGTATTTTTCTGCGTATAATTATAATATGATCTCGGAGTATAATACGAGAATGGTAGGTAGTTTATAGCCGAGACTTGGACGCATTGTCCAGCCATCGAAGTCGTGCACGAAAGACAATCCGAACTGGTATCGTCGTCGGACCAGTCTGCGTATCCGACACGAACAGAGAGACAAATACGCGGTCGTCTATATTTATTATTATTATTATTATTACGAGTATTCTATATTTGCGAATGTTGATCCACCAGATGCCCTTGAAAAATCGTTGTATATATATGGTGGTTGTATTCATACCATCTTAAATCCACCGAGGCGCACACCAGCACACCGAATAGTTCAACAGGATGTATGTACTGTTGCAGAGTGTATCTGTGTAAGCTAATGGGTTCTCCGACTATGACGATGAATTTTGTTCTGCTAAACAATCTAAACGATAGAAATTATTCTCGGCAACGTGAAATATATCGTAAAAAAATATGATTTAAAATACGAACTCACCTCTAAATTTTTCATAATTGTGTTTAATTGTTAAGACTGCAGTCAGTTAATCAAGGCATTCTAGGATAAATGGTTAGGTCAGATATAATTATCATTACTATATAGGTTTGGACATTTTTTGGTTCACAAAAACGTTAATTTACGGGTTGAAAAATATGTTAAAGGTTAATCGGTTCAGATACCTACTATTATGAGTTAATAGTTATTAAAAGTATTTTGTTTTTGTATGTATTTTAACTTTTTCACAATTGCAAAACGTTTTTAATAAAGTACATTTTAACGTTTTTCATAGTACTTAAAAAATATGTAAGATGAACATAACAAACCTAAAGTACAGTAAAATATGAAATTCGTTAAATTACAAATAATTGTGGTATTTCATGTTTAAAGTAATGTTGGAATAAATTATTGAAAGAAGTTTAAGACTTTTTGTGCTTAGATACATGCATGTATTATGTAACCCGCTGATAATATCTTTTATTTTGTGTACAACATTAATGCATTTTACAAGCCAATAACTGAACCGAAAATGTCCCCAGATTAATGATTAACTATTTAAAATGATTTCTTATAAAAGTAATTTCAACTGTTATTTCTGGTGTAAAATGTAATATAATTATAGTTTCTTTTTAATATAATATACAGGGATACTTGTAAAAATTAAATTAATTTTTTGAAGAATTTGATTTTTTGGTGATTTAAAAGGCATAGGTATACCTATGAGTTTTTGCAATTTTTTAGGACATTTAATACTCAGAACTTATATTATATGTATTTATTATATTATACTGTATGCTTGTCCGCTGAGTACAAAACGTGATATCAGAAAAATATTTGAACGCTGCACAGGACGTGA